TGTCAGCCATCACGTTGAATTAAATAAGAATAATTTTAATTTCTGAGACATGAATGTAGTTTGTATCTGGTGTGAAAACAACTGACGCTCTTTCTGCTGGTTTGCCTGAGATGCAGTATGCATGGCAACTCCCAAGCTTTTTCTGATTATAAAATATATGCTAGCTCATACCCTGCTCTCTGTCCGGTTGCAGCAGTGTTGCAGAACTGATACTGCCTTGAGAAGGGCTCTTGCACATCGTTGGCATGAGCAGAGAACATTTGTATCACAAAAGGAGTATCTCCCTTTTTGCCAAAGAATGGCCTGTTAACAGAATCTCAAAATTCATTACTAACAGTGGTACAACAGCCCACAAATATTCTTTTCCCAAGTTGGCCGTCTTTACGCAGGCCTCACAGAAGTTAGTAACTCTTGCACATCTATTTTTGCGAGTCTTTTATCACTTACTGTGAGTGTAAACCTTAACTTGTAATTTGACAAGTATTACCAGCCCTTACTGAAATCTAGTATGCTCTTGAAAGTGCTCTCCTGTCAACAACAACGCTATTAAAACGTTACAGTTACTGTCAAAGTGATAATGTTGGACCTTTGATAATGGGTGGTTATGTTCTTTCTGTAGGTTTGGCAGTTTTCCACAAATGGACCAGTGTTTTCATCTCCATGCATCTCAAGTTTAGCTAAGGATGAAATATTTTTTGGCTCCCATGACTGCTTTATCTACTGTTGTAACATGGAGGGTAACTTACTGTGGAAATTCAAAGCCACTTCAAGTGTATATGGGGCTCCATTCCTTTTCCAAAGTGATGACTTAAAGAACAAAATGCTTTTGGCAGCAGTATCTACAGATGGCAGTGTGTGGATCCTGAATGCCAAGAGTGGAACAGCAGAAGGAGTAGCTAGGCTTCCAGGAGAGGTTTTCTCTTCCCCTGTAGTATGGGGAACAAAGCTTCTTGTTGGCTGCAGAAATGATTATGTTTATTGCCTAGATTTGTATATAACAGGAAAAAAAGAAGGGCTGAGATGTTAGGCTGCTTCCTTTTTATTGTTTACATTTGTAAACTAAGACCTCACAGGTGCTTTCTACCCTCTCTGCCTATTTTACTGCAGGCAAGAGGTGCTCTTTGCAGCCTTCTCAGGTAGCATTTTGCACCAGACAGCATCCAGAGTAGGTGAAGTCATCTTTGTTGACTTGCTGCACTAATTGCAGGAGGATGACTGCTCAGCACCCAGCCAGAAGTTGTACTGTCCCATTGGATTTGAATGTTGTGCTTCGACCTGTGTACTAAGAAAATGAAAGTAAGCGGTTTGGCTTCAATCACTTGCAGGATTGGGAGAAACTGTGGTCAGGTGCCATACCCTGCAACTTGGCCCAATGTGCTTGTCTTCCTGGGAGGGGATGTGTTCCTCCCTTCAAGTCCAGCCTAGGCTGTGCCCTGGGGGTCCTTCCCAGCCTGTGCCTGGCTCTCTCTTGCATCAGCCTGGTGCCTATCTGGCCTGATGAGGTTCCTGTGCTCTGCCAAGGCAACCCAGGTCCTTTTTTGAATCTAACTTTTAACTTGGTTTAAGACAGCCTGCGCTGCATACACCTGGGAGTAGTGACCTGTTTACTGTAGTTTGTATAAACTGAATAGTTCATCTTTTGTGAGCCGAGGCCCTCCTTGGCTTCAATTCAGCCAAACAAACTCTGTTGAAGTCAGCAGGAGTTTCTTCTTGTGTTCTGAAGTAGAGAATATATTTACATGTGTATATTTATTAAACTTCAGTGACAGGTACAGTATGAATTCCAAGATGAAGTGTGCACTGCTCCAATCAACCGGTGTCAAATAATTTATGGGATTTGAATGACTCCTCTCTGCAATGTCTTTACAGAGAACTATTAATAAAGGGTTGTGTAAATTGTTTTTGTTTGCCTTTGGTTGTTTTTAACACCTTAAAAATAATTACCAGTGGTCTTAGTAATGTGACTCAAGTATTTGCAGAGACAAAAGTAGCTTAAATGAGAGCAGCTTCCTGATTATGAATCTTCTGAAAGAACTATAGTCAGAACTATGACCTCACTCTGTCTGATGAGCCATCTACTTTGAATTCTAACAAACATCTTGAATGAAAAAGTGCAGTGGAAGTTGCACTGGCAATGTTGCTTCATCACGTCTCATACCTCCCTTTTACTGTCAGGAGAAACACACAGGCAGGACACTTGTGGCACTGTAAATTAAAGCTCTATAAAGCAAACCTGAACTACGTGGTTAGCAAAAGGAGACAGAGAACACATCCTTGCTTAGATAATTTTGACTGGGTTATAGTTTAATAAGAATTAAAATGACATTAGTATAATAAACGATTGCACTTTAAAACATTTGAAAAATTAAAAAAGTACACAACAAATACCCCACAATTATACATTTATAGTTTTTATACATTACTATATGAACATAGAGGTTAATCATATATAACCTTGTCAGAAGAAATGGTATTTCGTGGGTATAAGTTACAAAAAATTGAGACAATATACTACATAGTGGTTTGTCCAGTTCTTAAAACATTTTTGCCGTTTTTAAACTCAGTAGTAGTTTTGGTTTTATTTTTACAGATTTCTAACACTTTATGAGAATTGGTTGCAACAAAGCTAAAGCAAAGTAACACTTCACTTCATCGGTATTTAGTGCAAATTTTTGTTAATTTAACATGAAATGTCACTGTTGAACATGTACACTTCAGAAATGTTTCCACCAAGTACTGTACATAATACAGTTTCCATTATTACACTAGATACCGTTGTGGTTGGGAAAAACCTCTGCTTTGAAGCTGTAGAGTAAGACCATCCTTGATGAACGCTCTATTCTATGTGCTATAAATGTACTGTATTGGAAAATTGCATCCTTATGTTATGCACAATGGCACCCAAATTTGCTATGCTTTCCAGCATACCAGTATCTTCTGTTCTTTAATCCTGATTTACTTCACCTTCTCCATAATGTCTGCCTGGCTCCTTCTCCCAAGAAATAGTCATAAAGACGGATTTCAGGCAGTTTAGTTCTTGTAATACAAATACATATTGCAGGCTTATGAACTCAGAAAAAAAAATGTAAATTTAACTTAAGAAGCACTAATTCATGGTGCTAGCAGAGCATACATGATGGGCACAATTTGTACTTCAGATAAGCTTGCAAAGATTTGACTTTGAAGGTGTCAAGTATTTGTTTGTTGGTTTGTTGTTGGTTTTTTTTCCAAAAAAATGTTTTACAGCAGAATTGCCCCATCTCTGTATAAAACATTTTAAATACTAAAAAGTTACTTTAGAGAGGTTAGTTTTAAATACGAAACTGAGCAAAACTGATGGCTTAAGAGACTCAAAAAAAAAAACAAACCTCATCTTGATGCTGCACATCTACTCTACCTGACACGTCCGCTGTGTTTGTGCTACTGTAACCATGGTGTGTAACTGCTGTTCTCAGTGTGGGGGGGATAGTGTATTCAGTGATGACTTCTGCTGACAAGCCCTTTTTGATTCTTGGAATGAGAGGATCCCTCAGGCTTCATTCTGTTTTCTGCATAATTTAAAGTGCTATTCCTCATGCTGCATACCGCAGTTTGGCTAAAATACATCCATGAACCATATGTGGCATCATTCGCTAATGATGCAATTTCTTCTCATGAAAATGTCTCCCTTTATGATGCTGTAGGCTTAAAAGGTCCTTTGAGCCTTGAGGTTATAAGGAGACATTAAAATTTGTTAAAGACGTCCTTGTAAAACAAATTTGTGTGTGTTACAGACTGATTTACTAGGGTGACCTTTTAAGATGTGGACATAGCTATTTCTGCGGAAGTTGAGGATAGTAAACATTTTATTACATTAGGGACTTTATCCCTTCCTTTTTTTTTTTTTTTTTTCTTTTTTTAAGAGGGACTGGGTGAACATTTCTGGTGTAGTTACAAGAAGTAATAAAGTGTTCAGTTGCCACAGCAGATACCTGAGATGGGATAAGTAAACTTCTTCCTGAAGTGTTCTGGCTGTATTGGGCAAAGTACAGGAAGGTACCTGAACTACCTGAAGTTGCAAAGCTAAAATTCCTGCGACTCTCACTGACTTCACTTCAGTTCCCAGTTCAGTTCTGCAAATCTGACTCCTGTGGGAACATACTGAGCCAAGCTCTACAGCTCCATGAACACGGGAATAGTTTTACTTATTTTCGTTCCAGATGATGGATTTAAAGTTGTAATCTGCAGTCACTGTCTCTATGCATCCCAAATATGGTCAAGCACAAACAGTGATGCACTTAAATGACCAGATGAAACACTGACTCCCCAGCTTCTTTCTGGAAACTTTCTCATTTTTTGTTTAAATAATAGGTTGGGGTTTTTTTTTTGTTAAATAGGAAGAATTGTTTTCTTCCTAAAAGTGAGGGAATATAGATACAGTGTATTAATCCTACGCTGGAAGAAATTACCTCAGCATTTGGATGGTACCGTCCTTCTACTTATCACTTGCAGGCAGAAAGATATCTCCCGAAGTTCTTCATCAGGGAAGAAGCTTTCAAATAACAGGTACAACTGACATACAGTTTAACACTTAAAAAAAATGTAGGACTAAGAGAAGGGAACATGCACCTTGCCTTAATTTTCAACAATGGAGTGTTGAAAAAAAATTCTGAGATCGCCACTGAGGTGTAGAGATCTGAAATTGCAGAACCAAACACCCACAGAATTTAAGGAGCTTCGAAACTGAAGTTCTGGCCCCTATTGTGATACTCCTTAAAATTCACATCCAGTATCTGACCACTCTTAAATTTTTGAGAGTCTGGCTCTGAAAATTTTGCCGTGACCTCGTTTAGCAATGGAATCTATGACTTGAGTAGACTTTACAGTGAGCTAGAGCAAAATGGTAATCAGTTCATTTTTTAGTCCTTTAATACATGCATTTTTCAGTTCTGTCATGTAAAAAGCTGAATAAATAAAAAGAAAGCAATTAATAATCAGCAGCAGAGATTTAATTTTACAGTTTACTTTATGATCTGTGGACAGTCACTCCAGGCTTTTGCTTTCCTCTTGGCCAGTGCAAGCCAGGCTGGTTCTGTTGACACAGGGTTAGCATCAGGCGTGGAGAATCTCTTGGCCACCTCCTTTGCCAGTGGGGTTGACGGAACAGAATCTGAAATTTCCACTGGATTTGA